AAAAAAAAAAAAAAAAAAAAAAAAAAAAAAAAAAAAAAAAAAAAAAAAAAAAAAAAAAAAAAAAAAAAAAAACAAAAAAAAAACAAAAAAAAAACAAAAAAAAAACAAAAAAACAATATACCCTTTCTTCTCATTTACAATACTTACCTTATCCCTTTCACGGATTTCACGACAGGAAGCATTTTTTGAAAAAATAATATATTTACCTCCTTAATTTTACCGATTATTATCACGAAATTAAGCACCCCCGCATTTTTTATTTTTTTATAAATATAAAAGAAAGTATAAACCACCTCTGCTTAAAATCTATATGTATTTTATACACACTAGTCAAATACAAAAGAATCGCTGTAATTCCTATATTATAGATCAGCTAAAAATCAGTAAAAATCGACCGTCCTATTGCATCCTATATTATAAATCAGTTAAAATCGGAATTCCTTTTCGGTACGGCAATTCTTTTGGATTTGACCTGTGACATTTATTTTTTTTTAAATATATTGTTTATAAATATTTATATATGACATCAACTGGAAGAATTCCCTACTGGAATGATCGTATCGCAGCTTGGTCACAGAGATTATGGTTGCCCATAGAGATTGACATTGTCATTTTACCTTTGACCTTATAAAGTATGTCTTCCAAGACTCCATCGGATAAAAAAAAAAAGAGTAAATATGTGATACCAAGATCATCATGGTAACAACGCATCGACCTCATCAACGACCAGCAAGCTTACTCAGGATATCCAATGATGAAGAACAAATGAATAGCAAATTGGAAGTGGGAAAGAAATGCAAAGTGGGTGCAATACTTAGTTACACCCAGAAAAAAAAGAAAAGTAGAAGGAAAAATGAGAAGCATAAAGGTGCGGGTTTACCCGAATATGAGGCAAAAGCAATTAAAGAAATGGATGGGATGTTCTAGGTAAGAAACGAATATATATATATTTATTTATTTGTGAGAATTTAGGAATTTAGTGGTTTGAGAATTTTTTTTTTTTGACTCTTGTTTTTTCTCTTCTTGTTTCTTTATTTTTTTCGATTTTCTTCTTTCTTTGCTTGTTTTTTTTCGATTTTCTTCTCTTGTTTTTTTATTTTCTTCTTTTCTCTTATTTTTTTTTTTTTGATTTTCTTCTTTTCTTTCCACTTGTTTTTTTTTATTATTTCAATTTTATTCTATTCTTTTCTTTTTTTTTAATTTTCTTCTCTTTTCGCTTGTTTTTTCATTTTTTTCAATTTTAAGACTCGCTTATAATAGAAGTTTCAAAACGGTAACTGTACCAATCTCGCTTATTTTCGCATCTTCCTCTGTCAACGAATCGACAATGGTACTTGGTATTTCATGAAGGACGTTCCGTACAGTGTACTTGATGAAGCAATGAAGGAGGCAATTCAAGCAAGAGATCTCGTTCAAATGAGAAATAAGGAAGGAGGGAAATCACATCATAAACTTTCATTTCGTTGTCGTAAGAAATGTCAGACAATTGCAATCCGTTAACAAAACTGCAGGGACCACCTCAAGTTATACCCCAACACAAAAACTCAATTACATATCCTCCCCTCCACCACGAACACCGCAAAAAAAAAACAATTGGCCCAATTTAGAAGGACGAGTTGATAATGATTCAAAACTTAGATCAACAACAATGGACATTTATTTGGATCTATGAAAAGGAAGTGACCCCTCGTGAGAACCAAGCGGGAGGTATCACTGTTTGTTCACTAGATCCAGGTGTCCGTACATTCTATATTGGTAATCAAGATGCACAAAGAATTATTCGTCTCTGCCTTCATCTTGATGATCTCATTTCCCGTACTATTAAAGCCCGCGCAAATAAACGTAATCATATGCATCCGCATTCTACAAAAAATCTGTAATCTCGTTGATGAGTGCCATAAGAAAACAGCACTCTGGCTTGACTGCATATTTGATGCTATCATTATCCCACCATTTAATGGTGATCAGATGTCCCGAAAACAACATCGACGGAAAATGATGTCATTGGCTCATGGGAGATTTCTGGAGAGACTAATTTCAAAGGCAGAAGAGTTTGGAAAAGAAGTTAAAATAGTTGGAGAGGTGTATACAAGTAAAACGTGTAGTTGTTGTGGATGGATACATCAAAATTTGGGGGGAAGAAAAGTTTTTAAGTGAGGGAGATGTGGTATATGCATAGGTAGAGACATAAATGGATTTTTCTCCGGGCTTTACTGGATGGAGCTATCCTTTTATAAGGTACAAGTTGACTAAGTTCGACTGAAGCCATCCGTACAAATTTGACCTTTCTAAAGCTATGCAAATGTCGTTCTTAATAATATAAAGGAAGGAAGTAGAATGTCTCATGATGTTAATTCAGATGTCAACAAACGTGGTCTTGGCCATCAAGTTAGTACCTGATCAGCAACAAATACTAAAATAGACTTTCCGATAGTGATAAATATTTTAGCCACTTTAACAAATAATTTTACTAATGCATAAATGCTTAAAGTATATGAAAAATATTATTAGTTCTTATAAAAGCCAAAGAAAAAATTTTTTTTTTTATAATTTATTAATTTAATATTGATTCGAGATAGAATATTAGATATTATTTAATATAATTTAATAATAATTTAATGTAAAAATATTTAATTTTACAAATAAATAAATAAAAATAAAAATTTTTTTAATAATAAATTGCTAAAAATTACATGTATCGAAAATTTCATCCAAAAAAATGACTTCTTTAAAAAACTTCTTTATATATATATATATATATATAAAATCACTTTTGTCTTCAACAACTTTCAACAAGAAATAAAAATATATACAACGCATACATGCATGAATGAATGAAATTAAAAAAAAATATATTTATATATTAATTGAATAATAAATCCATAAATTAACCTTCAAATACAAAATAAATAAATAAATAAATTAAACAATTAAATACAGAAATTCGTTGAAAGAAAAATTATTTAAATTGTAATGGTTTTTAGTAAATTGATTGTCTATATATATTGTTCTTGAGGAATTATTTGTTCGTGTATCGTTTCCGTTACGTTTTTCCTTTTCGATTCTTCGGAATTTTCTGGATTCTCATGAATTGATATCAGTGGAATATCAAATTCTTGATTCAATTCATTTTCTGGATTATGTTCATGGTGAATCTCTGTTGTTTTCTCAGATTTTTCGGTAGCGTCTGTAAAAGATGTTTTCAGATTTAATTTTTTTTCTTTCTCTGAATGATTTTCTTGACTTGATTCAGCCCGTGAATCTTCGGAAACATCGGACAAATTAGATTCATTTTTATTTTCATTATCTTCTTTCGTGCTATCGTCATAAATCCTACTTTCTTGAACCTGCGTGTCATAAATCTGACTTTCTTGAACCTGTGTGTCATAAATACTTTCTTGAACCTGTGTGTCATAAAGCTGACTTTCTTGAACCTGTATGTCATAAATCAGACTTTCTTGAACCTGTGTGTCATAAATCTGACTTTCTTGAACCTGTGTGTCATAAATCTGACTTTCTTGAACCTGTGTGTCATAAATACTTTCTTGAACCTGCGTGTCATAAATATGACTCTCTTGAACCTGCGTATTATGTTCTGGGTTTAAATTAATTTCAGTTTTTGTATGATGACCATCTTTAATTAATTCTGACTGCTCATCCTCTGATTCTTCAATAACATCCGTTAATGCTGATTCTCTTTTATTGTCATCATTAATAAAACTTTCTTCCTGAACTTGTATTAGCGGAAGATGTTTAAAGTTATTGTCTGTTCCCGAGTTCTCTTCCAAGTTACCTTCAAATATATTATTATCAGGTTCTTCCGGCAAAATTTTACCCATTTCTCCTTCAAGATTAACTGCTCCATCAGCTCTATCATCAAAATTAGGCTCGGAAGGGGCATCACTCTCTGAAATCGCAGATCGATTATCGAATGACGAAGCATCATCCGTTAAAGGGTTATTCGTTTGAAGCCCTTCATTCTCAGGTTCACTCAGTTCAATATCCGGATCTAGATATTCTATATCGGATGCTTCTTCTTCTTCCGTATTAAAGAACCAATGATACGAGAGAATCAAACATTTAATTATACTTGTATGATGACCAAGATTTCCCATTGAAACAGCAAAGTCTCGGGACTTTAACAAATTAGGACCAAACACAATAGCCAGGTTTCCAGCATACATATGATTAAATTCCTCATAATCAGTAACCCTAAAAACGATGTATGAAGAATGAATATTAATACAGAATACAAATGAGCCAAGGATATTCTAGAATTTTAGAAATAAACAGTTCAAACCTTTCTAAATGTTCAATCAATCTTTTCAATAAATCATAATTTGGTTTAGGCAACTTATATAGAAGATCTTTGATGGCATAAAACTTTCCATCACGGTCCTGTATGTCTTTGTTTTTTTAATAATAAACCAAATTTTCCATTAACAAAATTCAATGATTGTTAATGGCTTAACAATAATTATTATTTTTAATTTACCTGAGGCCTGAATGAACTGATCATAATACTCATATGTGGTAATGGGTTCAGGAAGAGAGCGAAAGAATAACTTGAGAGCACCCGCCACAATATTTATGTCACGGTATTCTTCATCGCTTAAATCAACTGCTTCGGCATCTATAAGTTGAATTACAATAAATTGAAAAATTTAGATGACAATTATATTAATTATTTATTATTATTTAAAAAATATACTATTTTAATACTAAATAAAAATCATCTATAGTAATTATACGAATCGAAATTTCTTACTTTTGTTGAATGCAGCCCTGAGCTTATTAATAGCCACTGCAGAACCGGAAACTCTGTATATTCCAACTTCTTCTAACCCTAAAAGAAAAAATTTTGCTTAATTAAATTTGCAAAAATATACATATATATAATTATATAGTAAACAAACCTCGCTTTTCTATTTCGGCTATGCATTTTTCAACTAGTATCGGAATTCTACCGTCAGCCATTAAAGTAAACAGATCTTTACCATACACTAAAAAAAAATAATAATTAATACACATTTATTAAAAAATAAAAATGCACTCGGGAAAACTTACCAGAATTACGTGTCTTAGTCTCCTCTATCACCTCTTCCTCTTTCGGATCAATGATTTGTTGATTTTCAGTTTTAAATATTGTCATTCTTTTTTCTGCACCTTCCTTAGAAACTTCGGTTATGAATCGCATCCAATCATTCATATCATCGTAGTCCATTGCTTGAAATAAATATTGTGCACCCTCTTCACTCACAATTCGGAAAACAAAATCGAGGGAGACGCTATAATCTACCGATGTCTGGGAATTAATCAAATTTATAACGAGCGCAGGTTTGGAATTCGGTACTTGAGGTTTCGAGGATATATTATTTCTTGTAGAATTTGAATTGCCTGAATGATGCCACGTGCTTGCAAAAGCCATAGATATTGGTCGTACTGCATGTTTAATGAATGATTCCACTCTGGACTTATTTCGTGGTCTCTGTTGTGTTCGAGATTGTTTTTCAAGAAGTTTTGCTTGTTCATTTTGTTTCTTTTGCAATCTATTCTGAGAATCCCGAAATTCTTTTGTCAAACGTTCCCTTTCCTTTTGGTCCCGTTTTATTTTTTCTTGTTGCTCTGTTACAAATTTACTAAAGGGCTTTAGGGATCTCGTTTGTCTAGGTGGAACACTCGTAACTTTTAATGCATTATTTTCACGTGAAGAAACCTCTTTATATTTGCGCCAATCATTCTTTTTGCTACCCGATCGTGAATTTGGACTTATCATATAATGAACATCAACTGTTGGTTTTCGATCTTGAGCTTTTTCAGTTAATTCACGTTGTAATCTTACAAATATTTGTGTAAGGTTGTAAACGTAACGACGTTTATCGTAATTTATCAATTTTTCGGATTCAAAAGACATATCGGGAACATTACAACAAATTTCTGACATTCGCTCAAATAACCATCCAATACATGGTACCATTGCTAAGTTAGGATTCGTTGAATTAACTATATGTGTTTTGATCAAATCGTTTTGTAATAAGGAATCAAGAGATTCCATGCTACCATTACGACTTATAGCAACTTCTGACCAAGCTCTTGTAAACAATCTACTTTCAGGACTTATTAAAGCACTAACAATTGCACTCTCAACAAATGAAGGAACACTTCTTTTGGCTTCCGACTCATTCTTAGCAGCTTCACCTTTAGGATAAATATCCAACTTGACCATTCTTTTTCTGCTCAGCAAAATCATGTCAAGAAAGATATTCATTCTTTTAACTCTTGGCTCAATTTCAATATTAGGTGATGAAACTTCTTGTATAACCCATTTACGTATAGTATTGTGAATACGGCAAAGAGCCTGAATTGAACGAGGGAGAGAATTAAGAACACTTTCTTTTGAATTCCCAGTTCTTTCTGTACTTTGTAATGTAGTGAATATATCAGTAATAAGTATTTCATCTTCAGAAATATAACCTATTTGCTTTTTTGGATACCAGCCTAGCACATCAGCGGATTGAGTCTCCAAAACTTCAAAGGCAAGTATCCAATCTTGGGGAGTTACCGTCTCAAATAATTCTAGAACAGCAAGATCAATACTATCTAGAAGAGCTGAAGAATCATGAGCATCTGGTGAAGGAATCACTTCATTTTTAGATGTGCCCTTGTTTGATAATGATGATGGACTATTCATGATCTTATCTACTAAATGTGCCATCTTTTCATTCTGTATATCATAAGCTGGTTCAAGACTCTTGGTCGTTGCCAGTTGTTTTATATATCTTACAGAATCTTTTAATTCTTTAAATTCGTTTGATAAATGTTCATCTGAAACTTTACTAGTCCTGGATTCTATTCCTGATTTTGCTTCATTAAGGAAATGTAATAAATGATTTCTCAAAGTCAAGTCATCTAGAAAATCATGGAAAAATTCTTCAATCCAATAACGGAATACTGACAAAATTCGGGACTGGATTAATGTCACCTTATTCCAATCATAATTCTCATTTTCATCACTATCCTTTTCACTATAATCCGGAGAGGGGATATTTGATTCCACTGGGCTTTTAGGTTCCTTGGAAACTTTTTTTGCGTTCATAAAACGTTTTCTTAATATATCCAACAATAAATTTGGACTACAAAAACTACGATATGTACTAAAGAAAGTCGCCGTATATTCAGTGGAATTAATACCAAGTTGACTTTGTCTACCAATTGATAAAGGTGGCTCACCGTTATCGTCAACCACACTCGCACTATAAGCTGTTACACCATTAACTAAGACATCAATTAAACGTTCTAAAGTTCCTGCTTTGACAACCACCATTAGAGCATCATGCTCTATATTAACGTGTAAACTTGTACGTGGGGAATGTGACATACCATGTAAAGAATTACGTTTTGATGTTGTACCAGATGAAGCCTCAACAATACTTGAAGGTCTTGAATTAGTAGCATCTCTAACAGATTTGAATACTAGTTCACCATCTTTAACGAACTTGAGCATCTCTCCAACGCCCGCAATATCTTTCATACATTTCAATAGTACATTGTAACTACCACGATGTTGTACCAAACTACCTAACCAATTCCTGGTCACAAGATCCAAACCAGTATTCCATGTGGTTGAAGTTAATGGACCTATTCTTGCAGGAGGAAATGATAAAGTCCTTTTCCTAACATTTTCTTGTTGATCCGGTGAATTTATAGAAGGTGAATTTAATTTTGTAGGTGACATGTCCGAATTTAAAAGTGTTTGACCGGGGAAAGTTGTACGAGTTGGGGATGCCATTGAAGTATATGCATTATTATCGTTCAAAGAAGAATTTGATAATTTTTTACCTAAAGTACCACTAGCATTTAAAAATGCTTGTTTTTCAAATAACCTATTAGATGGTATAACTTCAGTAAATACTAATGGAACATAAACAGAAGGGGATTTGCGTTGACGAGCGTGATGTTCCAAATATTGACCATGAAGACGAGGTTCACACATTAAAGAAGAATCAAACAATTGCCAAGGATCAAGTGTGGAAGAGGATGGAATAGAATTTAAATGATGGAAATATTTTTGAAGAGGAATTAATTGAGTAAAGGGACATTCTGAAATATCAAAAGTCTTATATTCTTCTGATGGATCCCATTGATTAAGTGAAGAAATTATAGTATCATACATTCTTCGATATTTTTCAAAATTTATAATACCCATTCCTGAAATACTATTATTTCTTGAACCAACACGATTAGTTTCTCCAGTATTTCGATCAATTACTGAAGGTATATTTAAATTTAAACTTTCCATTGCAAGAGTGATAAAACCGAAATATGGAATAGATTTGATTTTATTCTTTTCTTTTTTATCATAAACAATTAATAACAAAGGATTCATATTATCCAAATCGGAATCCCCATCTAGACCTCCATATGATGATAAAAGTGGTACCCAATCATTTATGACTACATTTCGCCATTGTTCATCAACTCTTTTCCAAGTTTCTTTCAAACGAATAATTCCAGGTGAACAAACTGCCGAGGCAACAGCCATCCAACCAACCATATCACCTAAAGATTTACAAGCTATTCCAGTTTGTATCCAATGAGTTAATAATACTGGTCTTCGACTTGTATATGCAGATTGTTGAGCAGCTATTAATATATGATGATATATTAATCTAGTGAGGAAATGAGGAGATGTAGGAGTAGAATTTAAAGGACATTCATTTGTTAATGTATCATTACGATTTTTTGAAGGAATAAAACTTCTTAAATTATGTCTAGGATTTGATTTTTTAAGTTCTAAAAAATGATATAAATAAAGTTGTTGAGCTAATTCTTCAGGTACCATCTTTAAGAACAATGCAGGAGTTAAACCAGTAACTAATAAATTTGAAAGATCCAAGGAGGGTGCTGATTGGGTAGGTGATATTAAGGTTAATTCATTATCATTTTCAACGGTTAATTTATTCCGAGTTTCATGCATTAATTTGTTTAAATATTCCGCATCAGTCAAGCTCTCTTTACTTATTATATCATTTATAATTTCTTGCATACCATTCCAAACATCTTCACGTAATAAATCATGCCCACAATTTTGACACCATATTTCAATTATAAAAATTGATCTTTTTACTATTTTATTTGGTTTATTATCATCATCAATTGAACTATGCATACTTGTACATCTTTTCAATTCACGAAAGATATGATTAATTTCAGAAAAAAGTGGAAAAGTGAGAAGGAAAGTATGAAGGAAATCATCATTATTTTGATTATTTCCTTTTTGTGTTTCAAATAAAAGTTCATGAATCAAAGAATCAACAGATCCCCCTCGAATAAAACGTTGTGATAAATTTTCATTAAGATGTGATGGATGTGATGTTTGTGATATAAATGATGATGGAGTAGTTGGAGTAGTCGGAGTAATAGGTAAAGTATTTGCAATATTTGAAACACTATTTTCTACACTATCTTCCGGATTTTTTTCAAGATTTTCAATAGTAGAATTGTCGATAATATTTGATTCTTTGATGATCAATTCGGGATGTCTACCTGTACCCCAATATGCTCTAATTTTTCTAGTAGGAGTTGTTGCTCCCGCACTTTTTTCTCCTGAACCAATAATTCCTGAAGTATCATTATATCCATTAAAACCAACACTACGAAAACCATTTTGATCATTTGTTGATCCATGAAAATCTGATTCACCATTTAATCCTTTTGTTGTTAAAGGTTCTTTAATAGATATTTTCATCATTTTTTTTAAACTTGATTTTTTTGCACCCCATAATTTTGAAATCCATAATAATCTAGTATCATTATTTGGTGCTACAAAAACACGATAACTATCTTTATTACGACCATCAATTATATTAAGATAAAGAATAGCTCCAGAAGAAGAAGAAACATTTGCTATAACAGAAACTGAAGATGAACCAGATCGAAGTGAAGAATTATCATCAGTATGTTTATTTGCTGTAAAGAATGAAGGTTGCGAAGAAGGAGCTATGTAAGGTGAATAACCTGTAGGTAAATTTGGATCAGGTATAACATCAATGCTATGTATTGAATAACATGTATCTAACTTCCATTTGGTGTAATAACCTTTACCCTTATTTGTATTATTAGAATTATCATTATCTTGTGTCCCACGAATACTATTAATTGATTTGGTATCCCGATCATCTTGACCATTTAAATCGATATTAGAATTGGGAGATGTGACATTTGAAGAATAATTTCCACCACCACCACCAAATCCCATGGCATCCATTATAGGTCTTAAATTTGCACTTGTATATCTAACCCATTTACGTTTACATATAATTACATTGTCTTCAAATATAAGTAAACAAACACTTTTCTTAAATCTCATTGCCATACTACGATCTACTTCATAACAAATTTCACCATAATAATATTTTGAAATAAGTGGTTGAGTAATTCCTAATTCAGTATTTGTTGTAATTCCTTCCCAAATTAATTTAATAGCTCCGGGATCAAAATTTGCTGGATTTAAATTCATTCCTCGATCAGTAGCAATAACCGGTGACAAGGTTGAACCCATTTCTTTACTCATATTCAAATCTTTATTATTTGGAAAAAATGTTTTTAAGACTGCTTCTGAAGGTGGTCTATAAAAATATAATTTCGAACCTTTTAATATCACACGATATACTTTCCAACCACGTGAGGTGGATAATGACTTTGCATCGAAATCAATTCTTTTGTTCAAATATCCTTCTTTAATGATTGGAACATTAGATATTGATAGTGACCTCTTCATAGATGTCTTGCCTAAATTATTGAAATTATTATTATCCACATGATGAACATTAATTGCTGGAACATTTGTATAAACACTATTTTCTAAATATTCATTTTGTAAAGAACGTTTATCAATTCGAGGAGGTTCTGATGGTCTTCGTTGATGATCAGAACGAGAACTAATATCTACTTCATTTAAAGATTTAGAAACACGCCTGCGAGAATAGGTAGGTAATAAAGTAGAACTTTTAGATGGTATAATGTTTCCAGGGGTAGGAGGAGGTGTGTAAATGTAATTGTCTTGACTTTCATGCTTTTCATTTTCCTTATAACCTTTTGAAATTTTTGGAGTAATGAGTTTAGCTGTATTAACAATTGAAGGAATTAGATTGGGAGCTTTTGATATAAAATAATTAAGAGCTGCATTTGTCTTATTGTTGACAGCAACTGCCAAATCTTTAGAATTTCCTGTTGACTCACTATTATTCCCAGTGAAAGTTCGAGTGTCATTATTATTATTATTATTATTATTATTATTATTATTATTATCATTATTCTTATTCTTATTCTTATTCTTGTTTTTCTTAGATTTTTTAGAAAATTGGTTAAACATTACAATAATTGGAATTTTTTAAAATGTTATATGAAATTAAATAAATTAATTTAAAAAAAAAAAAGGTCTATTTGAATTTACGATCTATACAATATAATTAAACCTTCAAACAGATAATGAATATAAATTGAAAATGAAAAACTTGTTTTATATAATCTAGTTTTGAAGATTTAAATTTTTTTATTTTACTGTCCGTCCAACATACAGAATTAGGTTTATTGTTTTCGAGATGGACAAAAAAAGAAAAAGAGGAAAAAGAGAGGGAAATTAAATGCGGAACATGTGGTAAACAAAAGTGCTTTTGTATAAAAACTCAAGAAATATTTTATTGGTGACAGCATGGTCAATAGTTTATTGACTGCACGTGTTACTGGGACCAACACTCGTCAGTTCCACCAGTTTTATTATGTTACTCAAAACTAATATCCGCTTCATGTAACACAATAATTAAATTCCCTTTTTGAACTTGTCTTAATGTCCACAAGATTAAAGAAAGTAACGACAACAATGTTCTGTTAATCATAAATTGAAATGAAATTGAATTGAATTAAACCTCGGTTCTGGTTAATATTTATTTTTATTTTTTAAATTTATTTGTAATTAATATTTTTTTAAATATTTAAATCGATATTTATTAATACTTACTAATATATAATTGCCAAGCTTTATATAATATTCAAGTTTATATTTGGTTTAAAACTATTTCTATTAAATAATAATTGTGTAAATACACTTATTGCAAAGATTATTTTTTGGATATTAAAGGTTAAGCTTCCAAAATCTTTATAAATGTAAGAGTTCCAAAATTAAAAATTCTCTTAAATGAAATTATTATTATTCATGTGACTACAAAAAAAAAGACCCTTTTTTTTGAGAATTAAATTTATATTGTTATTAGTTTTGATAACCAATTTTGTAAACTCGGAATAGATAGAATAGACGAATAGATAGGATAGAATAGTGGATAGATAGAATGATAGATAGAATGATAGATAAATAAACTTCCATCAATGAGTATCAACTTTATCATTGTTCTTTGTGACTGTGATATTCAAGCTCGAAAATTTTTTGGATCACATGAATTCTCTTGATTTTTCCAGAATTACACAAAGATCGGCGTTGACTGCATGGTAGACTATCTACAAATACTTTATTTGTATTATACTCCAAGAGATCTTCTATCTAAAAATTTCGTAAACGGAAGTTATTGGTCAATCAGTTTGTCTAACAATTACGTCGTTAAATGATTTATTTTAATGATTCCCATTTGTTGTGGTTATCCTTATCTGCTACTTCAGTCGGAACGCGTTCGATCAGAAATTCTCTGTACAACTGTTTTTTTTTTTTTTTTTTATCTATTTTCATTTAAAAATATCTCTTATCTAAAGTATTTGATAAGATAATATATCTTATCTCCGTACATGCATATTGATAATTTGCATATAAGTAGATTAATATTTTTACGTTGTTTGATTCATTTTTTTTCTCCATTAAAATTATTAAATTCGATTATTTATTATTTTAAAAAATGATGCACAATATAGAAAGTCTAATTTCCAGTAAAATTAAAGATGTTGTAGAAATAGATCCCCGCGATGCGAATACTCCTGATAATTGGATCCCACGCCATCCTGAGATGGTAAGGTTAACCGGCAAACATCCTTTTAATGCTGAAGCTCCATTACCCTTATTATTGGATCAAGGTTTCATAACCCCCGCTCCTTTACATTATGTACGAAATCATGGACCTGTTCCTAAACTCTCTTGGGAAACTCATCGTTTGATAGTTGATGGGTAATGAAACTTATCTCTTTTTTATTAATAATTTTAACATCAAAAATTTATATCTTATCTGTATATATCTATTTATATCTTTTTTTTTTTTTTTTATCAAGTCTTGTAAAAAAACCTTTGAATTTGTCCATGGATGACATTGCAACTCTTCCTTATATAGAATTTCCATTGACTATGGTTTGTGCAGGAAATCGTAGAAAAGAACAAAATATGATTAAACAAACCATTGGTTTTAATTGGGGACCAGCAGCAGTCAGTAATGCAATCTGGAAAGGAGTACGATTAAGCCATGTTCTAGAATTAGCTGGAGCTAAATTTGATCCCACACAACCTCGTTATGTATGTTTTGAAGGAGTCGATAAATTACCCAATGGAGTATATGGTACAAGTCTTCCAATAGAATGGGTGATGAATGAAGCAAATGATATTATATTAGCTTATGAAATGAATGGAGAAAAATTAACCCCGGATCATGGATTTCCTATACGTACAATTTTACCTGGATATATTGGTGGAAGAACTATCAAATGGTTGGGAAAAGTTAGTATAAGTGACAAAGAATCTGATAGTTTTTACCATTTCCGAGATAATCGCGTACTTCCTCCAGAATACGATGCTGAACGAGCCACTAAGGAGAATATATGGTATAACCCAAATTATATCATTTATAAACTCAACATTAATTCCGCTATAGCTGCTCCAGCACATGATGAAAAGATTATGATGTCAAAGTTAGCAAGTAATTCTGAATATACAGTTAAGGGTTACGCTTATATTGGAAATGGTACGAAATGTATTCGTGTTGAAATATCATTGGATTACGGAAAAACGTGGTTACTTACCAACCTCACACAACCCGAACCTGAATTTCCTCTTGTAAAAAATCGAGGAATGAATCCATTACCAAGATACTGGTGTTGGACTTTTTGGGAATTATCAATTCCATTACACTCATTGATCAGATGTGGAGAGATTTCCGTACGAGCTTGGGATTCTAACCAAAATACACAACCACGAGATCCAACGTGGAACGTTATGGGGATGATGAATAATTGTCATTATAAAGTATTAGTTCATCCATTTGTTGAAAATGATGAATTCGGATTGATATTTGAACATCCAACTCAACCCGGTACTATTCCTGGAGGATGGATGGTTAAGAAAGAAGCACCCAAGAAAGAAGCTAAAGTTGAAGAAAAACCTAAAACACCAGCTCCAAGTAATGAAAAAATCTTTACTATGAATCAAGTTTCCAAACATAATAATGAAAAGGATTGTTGGATTGTTGTCGCAAATAAAGTTTATGATGCAACAAGTTTCTTGAAAGATCATCCTGGTGGTAAGTTCTGAAAATTAGTTTATAAATATAAATAATATAATTAATTAATTTATTTATTTATTTATTATATTTTTTTTTTTATATTTATTAATTAATTAATTTATTTTATCTAATAATTTGTATAGGCAAAGCTGCAATCTTAATTAATGCGGGAACTGATGTTACTGACGAATTTAATGATATTCATTCTGAAAAAGCAAAAGTCAAATTAAATGAATTTTATGTAGGTGATCTTGCTAGTAATGAATCAAAAAAATCTAAATTATAAGATATATATAAACATATAAATATACACAAACATTTTTATAATTAAAATTTATGTTATTATGATTTAATTACAATATATTTTTGGAAATAATAATCAAATGTATCATATATTCGTATATTTATTCAATATTAATAATATTTATTACTATGAAAATTAAATTTAAATTATTTACATTATTAAAAATTCATGAACTGGTTTAATAATTTACCAATGTAATACTATTGAAAGCTCTTACTTTAAAGCATCAAATCATTATTATCCGAATCAATTTTATACTCACATCAACAGGAAATGATTTTCTGTTACAGTTGGGTCTCTCTATAATCTCACTTTTTATAATCACAATCTGTATATAATCACACTTTTTGTGAGAACCAATTCGTAGTAAATCTATGTAAAAAAATCGCTATATAATCGCAATCTTTCTATAATCACCAAATTTACTGGTCCCGAATGTGTGTGATTATAGAGAGACCCGACTGTTCAGGCTTTACAATAGCAGCTAAATCACAATTTTAGCATCGATTTCGTATCCATATCAAAAAAATCTATTCGCAGCCCATTTATACAAATCATTCTCTTGCAATTGATTTGTCATTCAACTTGCGTAATTTGCATCAATAATAATAATAAAAACTGTTATTTTGTTTTATTTATTAGTTGAAGGAAGTTGGTGAAACGAGGGAAACTGAGTGAAGGGAACAGGTGAAAAGTTACAGTGGATAAAGTTAATAATTTTATTTGTTTTTGTTATTTGCTAATATTTAAAATTTAATAGGAAGGGAGCAAGAAAAAGCATAAGACGCAGAGGATGCAAAGGAGGGTTTGCAGGAGGAGATAATTAATGGAAAACGGATAATAATGATCGTCATCTAATTCTTGCGATTTTTTTTTTATTTTAGTCTAAAATATTTATAAGTATTTATAAATATTTTCTTTATAGATATATCTCTCGGTGATGGATTACGTTTTCTTTTTATCAAAATTATTTGTTATTCGAGATAAATACCATTTTTTCTTTAGTTGATTAAATTTGTATTTATTTATTTGCTTGTTAATTAAATATATCAATTTAATGTTCTGAATAATTCATCTGATAAGTTCGATAACAAAAGAAGAAAGTGTCATGAACTATTTTGTTATACGTATTTAATTTCTTCTCTCCCTTCTTCAATTGGACGTATTTCTGTAAGCAAAAAGTAATAGTAAAGGAAAAAGAAATATGCATATGTTTATTTTAAATACTGTATATAAATTTATTTATATATGTTAATTTGTATATTAGAATTTGTATTATTTTTTAGACCTGAATAAATAACAAAATTTGGAATTTTCATTATTTAAACGGGAAGTGCCACACGACGAAAACCAATTCAATATTGCGAGAAATTTTCAGAAATTAATATCATTTTTTTTTCAATAAAATACTATAACTAATAAGATTTATTCATCTTTTATAACACTCTTCATTGATGGATATTAATTACCATCCAAGATATCTTTTTTGATAGATTTATGGTTATTTTTTGAACAATCCTAACATTACTGTTAAATGCATGGGTTAGGATTAGGGTTTGCCAGGGGTAGTATATTTATCACCGTGTTCGAATATCAATTTTCGGAGGTCGTCTAAAGCCAGGTACATCTCGTGATTTCAGGTGATCGTCGATGATCACGTAATCACGGGATATACCATTTTTTATTGGACGGAGAATTAAGAGAATCGGCTTGTTTTTTTGTCCTTTTAGTGACGAAAATTTGGATGAAACATTAGAAGCAAACAAAGAAAATCTGTTGGTTGTATATAAAGCCTTAAGTATAAACAATTTGATACAACTATTAACTAATTTATAATTTGGAACTATAGACAGCTCTTACAAGTGGTACAATCATAAATGAAGTGGTTATGGTGTCTCAGGATGATGTGTAATTCAGTTTTGTTGTGTCAGATAGTATTAGGAATCACAAATACAAAATCATGATTAATCGACTATCAACTATATAGTCAAGTACAAATGTTAATGGACAATTAATCGCAATTAATTGATAATTATAAAAATCGTAATTAATTGTGAATAATTGTGATTAATTGTTGTATTTTTCTTTTATAATATTTTCAAATCTTATTCTTTTTTTATAATTATAATATTATAATTATATAATATTATAATTATATTATTTTTTTCAAATTTTTTCAAATAAAAATAATAATTTTTTTTTATAGATTTCTTCTAGTTAACAAGAGCAAACCAATAATAATAATCGAATTTCAGAAGAATTGAACTACCACTGGAAAGGAGAGAAAGAAACAGCGCAAAAACATAGAGGAGAGTAAAGGAGAAAATAGAGAAGAAAGTAGAAGAGAGAGTGGAGAAGAGGATAAAATCGAAATCACTAAAGTTGTTAAAACTGTTGAAATTACAATTACAGAGGATCACGAATGTTTAAGGGAAAGGAGAAAGGGAGGAGGGGAAGTGTCAGAAGAGAAGAGGGTGAAGAACCTGGTGAAAGGGAAGAAAGAAAAAAAGAAAAAGGTATGGGGAAAGGAAAAAATAAAATCATCCAAATCATTGAAATTGCTGAAATTATGATCGTGGAGGTTATGGACATTTAGAAGAAAGGAGTAAGGGAGGAAGGGGGAAAAGAAGAGAAGAGAATAACAGAAAAGAAGAGAGTGAAGAACTTGAAAAAAAAAAATAGAAAAAAAACAGAAGAAAAAGAAGTAGGAAAAAAAGTAAAAAATAAAATTATCCAAATTACTGAAATCATTGAAATTACAATTATGGAAGATCATAAATGTTTAGAAAAAGGAAGTAAGGGAGGAAGGGAGAGAAGAAGAGAAGAGAATAAAGAACTTGAGAAAAGAAAAATAGAAAAAAAATAGAAGAAAAAGAAGCAGGAAAAAAAATAAAAAATAAAATTATTGAAATCACTGAAACTGCTGAAATTACAGTTGCGGAGGGTCACGGACATTTAAGAGAAGGGAGGAAGGGAAGAAGAGGGAGTATCAGATAAGAAGAAAGCAACAGAGGAGAAAAGAGTAAAGAACTTGAGGAAAGAAGAATAAAAAAAGTGAAAAAAAAAGGAAAAAAAAGATATTATAAAAATTATAGAAATAGATGATGAAGAGGATGAAGAAAAAGAAAACGAAGAGAGAATTAATAGTAATAAAAAAAGAGAAGAAAAAGGAAAAGAAAAGGAATAGAACATGAAAAAAATGTAGATGTGAAAAATACAAAAGGTTGAATTCTAAAAAATAATTCTATTTTGAATAATTATGAAAATAATTTTAAAAATAATAATTTTTTATCTTTTGAAATGAATTTTCGAAGTGAAGATAAAACACCTATTGCTTTATCAAGTAAAAATATTATCCAAAACAAAAAAACCCCAATGAATAGAATAAAAAGCAATATAAATAAAAAAGGGATTC